AGCACAGACAATAAGAGAATCAATGAATAAATGGGACCTCCTGAAACTGAGACGCTTCTGTAAAGCAAAGGACACCATCAGTAAGACAAAAAGGCTACCTTCTGACTGGGAGAAGATCTTCACCAACCCCTCATCAGACAAACTCAAGAAACTAGACACTAAAACTCTAATTAACCCAATTAAAAAATGGGGTGCTGATCTGAACAGAGAATTCTCAACAGAAGAACTTCAAATGGCCAAAAGACACTTAAGGTCATGCTCAACATCCTTAGCGATCAGGGAAATACAAAACAACTATGAGATACCATTTTACAACGGTCAGATTAGCTAAAGTCAAAAACACCAATGATAGCCTATGCTGGAGAGGATGTGGAGAGAGGGGAACTCTCATCCATTGTTGGTGGGAATGCAAACTTGTGCAGCCACTGTGGAAATCAGTGTGGCGGTTTCTCAGGAAACTGGGAGTCAACCTCCCTCAAGACCCAGCAATTCCACTCTTGGGAATATACCCAAGAGATGCCCTATCATACCACAAAAGCATTTGTTCAACTATGTTCATAGCAGCACTATTTGTAATAGCCAGAACCTGGAAACAACCTAGGTGCCCCTCAATAGAAGAATGGTTAAAAAAGGTGTGAAACATATATACATTAGAGTTTTACTCAGCAGTAAAAAATAATGACATCTTAAATTTTGCATGCAAATGGATGGACATAGAAAACACTTTACTGAGTGAGGTAAGCCAGACCCAAAAAGAGGAATATGGTATGTATTCACTCATAAGTGGATTCTAGACATAATTAAAGGTCTTTGAGCCTATTATTCGTGATCCTAGAGAAGCTAAATAAGAAGGTGAACCTGAAGAAAATCATGTAGTTATCCTCCTGGAGATTGGAAGTAGACAAGAGTGCCAGGCAACCTCGGGTGCATGGGGGGGGGGGGTTGTTGGAAGGGGAGAGGGTTAGAGAGAAGGGAGTAGGGGAGGAATGGGGAAAGCTCGGGGGATTGGGATGGGGGGAGGGAGGAAGGATGGATATGGGAGCAGGGAAGTATATATCTCAACTAAGGGAGTCATTTTAGGGTTTACAAGAGACTTGATTATAAAGGGGATCCCAGGTAAAAGGAGAGATCCCCAGATTGTTCTCTGGACAGAGGAGAGGGTGCCTGAACCAGCCTTGGCCCATAACCATACTGATGAATATTTTGCTTATCACCATAGAACCTTCATCTGGTGATGGATGGAGATAGAGACAGAGACCCACATTGGAACACTGGACTTAACTCCCTAGGTCCAAACGAGAAGCAGAAGGAAAGAGAACGTGAGCAAAGAAGGCAAGATCAGAGGGAACCTTCACCTGTTGATGGATGGAGATTGAGACAGAGACCCACATTGGAGCACTGGACTGAGCCCCCAGGGTCTAAATGAGGAGCAGTAGGAGGGAGAACATGAACAAGAAAGGCAGGACTGTGAGGAGTGCGTTCACCCACTGATACAAGGGGACTGATCTAATGAGAGTTCACCAAGGCCAGTTGGACTGGGACTGAACGAGCACGTGATACAACCAGATTCTCTCAATGTGGCCGGATTCTCTGAATGTGGCTGGCACGGGGTCTTTCTGAAAAGCCATTGACAATGACACTGGGACTTGTTTCCTCTGCATATACTGGATTTTAGGGATCCAGTCTGTTTGGATGCTCACCTTCCTGGACCTGGAGGGAGTGGGGAGGAACTTGAACTTCCCACAGGGCAGGAAACCCTGACTCCTCTTAGGGATGGAGAGGGAGGAGGAGAGGGAGTGGGGGGAGTGGGAGGGTGGTGGGAGGAGGGGCGGAAATGGAAACTTTTATAAATTAATAAACTTTTATAAATTAAAAAAAGAAACTATTGGTAAATGGATATGTATCCTAAAGATTTAAAGTACAGCTAATTGTTTTTATGTATAAAAGTTTAGGTTTGTGATCCTTTTATATTTCTTTTCAGATTACCCTTCAAGATAAATAATAAAATGACTGATTCCTTCTTTGTAAATATAATATTCAGTCTTCCAATAAAAGAGTTGGCTGAGAAAAAAAACAGAATGAAACTAGATTCTTAGCTCTCATCCTGAATAAAATTTACTCCATATGAAACCAAGACTCAACTGAAGACCAAATATTTTTAAACTGCTAAGGAAAAAGTAGTAAGTAAGCTTCAGCATACAGATATGGGTAAGGATTTTCAGATAGGACTCCAACAGCACAGGAAATAAGACCAGCAATTGATAAATGGGATCTCATAAAATGACAGAGCTTCTGTACTGAGATGGAAACTGTCAATCAACTAAAGAGGCAGCCCAAGAACAGGATAAAATCTTTGCCAGCTGCACATGTGACAAAGGGATTAGTATCTAGAAAATAAAAGAAATTAAAAAAAAAAACTAAGCACTAAGATAACAAACACCAGCCTAGCATGGCGGTGCATGCCTTTAATCCCAGCACTCAGGAGGCTCTGTTAGTTCGAGGCCAGCCTGCTCTACAGAGTGAGTTCCAGCACAGCCAAAACTACAGAGAAACCCTGTCTAGAAAATCCAAATAAGAGAGAGAAAGAGAAAAAAAAAACAAATATTACAATTTAAAAATATATTATGGAACTAAAGAAAGAGTTCTCCAAAGAATAAATATGAAGGGCTAGTAAACGGTTTTAAAAGTGGTCAACATCTTTAGACAACAGAGAATAAGGATTAAAACTACTTTAATATCCTATCATAAATGACCACCATCACAAATACAGATTATGACAAACAGCGACATGGGGAAGGAGAACACTTTACAGAGCTGGTGGGAATGGAAACTAGCACAGACACTTTGAAAATCAGTCTGCAGGTTTCTCAGAAAACCAAAATTATGATCTACCATATGACCCAGATATACCACTGGGTATATATCCAAGGATCTCAATACCCTACTTCAGAGATACTTGGACATCTGTGTTCATTGCTGCTCTATTCACGATAGGCAGGAAACAGAATAAAATGCAGTACATATACTCAATAGAATTCTACTCAGCTGTAAAGGAAAATGAAACTGTAGGTAAATGACAGAACTGGAAAGAATACGGAGTAAGGTACTCAGACCAGAAAGACATGCAGGGAGGCGGGTGGGCGCACTGGGAAGTGAAGACCGTGATCCAGCTGAAGCGAAAGCAGAGGGCGGGCAGACTGCTGACAACACAGGCCGGGCTGACGCACAAAGCACAGAGGGACTAGAGACATGCTGGCAGGGAAGGGAAGGGCTAACCAAACCGAAAAGTGTTTGAAAATCCATCCAGACACCTACTATCTTGTAATTCAATTAAGAATATTTTTTAAAAAGTTAAAGGGGAAACTGCTGATAAGGACAGACAGTGCTGTTCCTAGAATCAGCGGGTCAACAAGAAAACATGCCACTGCCGGGTGTGGGACACTTCTGTAAGAGGTGTTGGTCACGGAGGTTCCACTGGCTTCAAACACAATACAAGCTCTATCGTTCCTCCCGGTTACCCCCAGAACTAAGGACCTACTGCTGAAAATATGACACACCTTGGTTGCAACACACAGAGAAGACAAGCACTCACTGGGTCTTCAAAGAACTGGCCCTGGCCACTACCCTTTCATGCTCAGCTACTGAGTACCAGTGGATTTTTGGTGAGGGCCCATAATCATTTTCATTTGTGTATCGAATGGGGGTCCACTAAATCCCAAAGGATAGTTCCAAACCCATGATTACACAGACAGCCCTTACTAATCAGTAGATCACAAAGCAAAAGAAAAGGTCATAAAAGCAGGAAGGGATTTGCGGAAGGGTGGATGACAGGGATGGGGGAGACAGCAGGGAGCAATCATATACATTACCCCATGTGGAAACTGTGGAGGAACAATTTTAGTGAATAAAAGGAAATGCCAACAAGCACAAGAATCTTCCTGAACCCAAAAGGCAAGGGGGGGCTTGCAGATTAACACATTTGAAAGGCACAGATCACCAGCTGATACAGTCCTGGTGACAATCTTAGCTTCAAAAGGAGGGCTGTCTATAGCTAATTATAAGTCATTAAGTAAACAGAAGTGCTAAAGCCTAAGGTGACACTAACCATGAATGAAGTTTTAGTCTACCATAAAGGGTGTCACCTTCTTAATTTACATTCTGTGGCTGAAAGGGAGAGAACTAAGTGCTTAGCTGTTTCCGTAGCTAACCAGGTAATAAGAGAACATGTTTTACAGAAAAGCTCAATCAACAAATCTAAAACTAATGCCATAATTTTTAAAAATCAACATTTTTCTAAACTCAAACAAGCAAAGCAAAAAAAAAATCTGATTTGGACACCAAGTGGAAGAGAAGTATGGGTAATTATGTTTGAAAAAGAACACCTTCATAGTGAGGAAAGACAATCGTCCTCTTAATCAATGATTACATTCAGCATTACTGAAGGGCAGCCTGACAGCATGCCTTGTAATTTGATGCAGAGTGAAGTTACATTTTCCTCTATAAAATACACTCACCAAAAATGTTAAACTTGAACCCAAGCAGATCTATACCAGACTTCAAGTTTAAGAATTCATAAAGCATCCCAAAAGGAAACAAGCAGGTGGATAGGAACAGGGCACGCATCCTGAGCTTGAGTTTCCCCCAGCCCTCTTCTTAATTTTGGAAAGTGTGGCAAATGGCAAATACCGAGGTAGTGCAAATATAGAAAAATTGGTTTCTCTTTAGTCTCACTCTGCAAGGCTAAGGCATTCGTTCGGTGACCACATTTACCAAATTCCAGGGGCAAGGGAAGATTTGGAGTTAAAAAAACAGTCAGGAACATTGACAGAAAAGATGTGGCGAGCATCCTGCAGAGGTGAGAGAGCGGGACACAGAGACAGCCAGAGAGGCCCATGCAACACAGCCGGGCTGGCAGACTATACAGGACCAGCTAGGAGGGTGAGTCCTTTCTCTTCCCTACAACCTATCAATCTCAAAAACGAAAGTTAACTTAATTTCACCTTTGCTGGAGAAGAGAGCGTAAAGTGTGCTACACAGGTAGAAAGTTCCACCGCCGTGCATGTCAATGTGGAGCTGATAGCCTTGCAGTCCATATTCTGGGCTGTCATCCAAAAAGGGACCATGATGCTGAGGTGACACATAAGGGCTGAAAAACAAATCAACACACACACAAATCTGTCAATATCACAGACAAAATACTTGGTTGGAAAACACTCCTAAAAATTATTATCTATTCAAAACACTACTCCCACCAATGACACGCTATAGGAACCTAATAACTTTCATTCTCAAAAGAAGAACTGTTCCCTGTTGTTCTCATCAACTTCTAACAAAAACTGGCATAGATCTAGAGTTCCATGGGCAGCCATCAGACCAGCACAGTGACTGTGACTGAGATCCACCCTAGAATAGCAGTTCTACAAAGGCCACGCTCTTGGTCTTCTCAGTGACCAAAGACAGGGGCGCAACACAGACCTACAGGCCAAGGAATCAGGCTAAGGTGAAAGTTCAAACCAACCAATTGTTTCAGTAAGAAAAACCTCACCATGGAAGGCAGCACACTGAAAAGCATCCAGGAGCTTTACATAGACTTAAAAACTGAGTCAGGGGGGAGCAAGGGGAAAGCTGCAGGGAGACAAAAAAGATTGTTCCCCACCTATCAGCAGGCTGATATATTAGAAGACACCAACAGAACAGACCAGAGTCAACCAGAGGGCCAAAGGTCTGGACATTTTCCAAGTTCAAAACTTTAGATTATTAAATATGAAAACTTGAGGGAGGATGGTAGCACGCTGTCAGAACAAAGCACTCCTGCCTCTCTAAGTATAAAGTCTTAAACTGGAACAAACTGAGTAGATACAAGTCCATAAATAATACAATTATCTTAGCAACAGCTAAGTGACCAGTCATGTCTGATGTCTTGTGTCTACTGGATACAGAATACTTTTACAGCTATCCTAAGAATATTAAGATGGAACTGACTTCGAAATTTATGACAATACAATTCACCCATAGACAGATACATACAGAGTGGCTGAGCCTAATGTGCTTCTCTCCACAAGGTGATGAAAATGAAGATTTGCCATGACAAAAGCCAGTCCTGCGTCCTTCTGAAAAGTTAATTTAAAAGAACATAGTTTTCAATAGAAGTATTTTAATTTTTCACAAGTTCATTGTGAAAAATCACAGCTTATCATCTTGAAGATGTATGCATTATTATTGCCAATAAAGTGTTACTATAAGACTTGCACACGATACCGAGAGCTGGACCATGATTCACTCAATTTGCAGAACATGTAGTCCCAAAAGAATTAACGTCCTATACATGTGCAATAGCAAAGTGCCCTATTATAAACAATGATTTCCATGTTATTTATATGTATACATGAATAATATATAATATTCATATACTCATATGCATGTATACATATATACATATACTTGTGTGTGTGAACAAAAGAGAGAGATGATTTCAAGCTATTTCAAACTATTTTCAAAAATAAAGACAATCTGATAAGACCCGGCAGATATCTGATAAATTTCATAAACTGAGCATTACTGGACAATGCTTCTCCTAGTTAGCTTCAGCTGTCAACTCGATACATCCCAGAATTATCCAAGAGTCCCAACTGAGATTCTGCCTGGATCTGATCAGCCTGTGAACCTGTCTGTGGATGTCTTCTCGATTACTAACTGATGCAGGAGGCCAGCACCCCCAGGCATGAGGTTCTGGACTGTCTATGGTAGCGAGCTGAGCAGAGGCTAGAGAGCAAGCACGCAGCCTTCCTCCACAGTTCCTGCTGCCTGGTACCTGACTTGACTTCCTGCCCTGATCCCCCTCAACGACAGCTCTGGTGGCATGTGCCTTTAATCCCAGCACTTGGGTGGCAGGCGGATCTCTGTGAGTTCAAGGCCAGCCTGGTCTACAGCGCTAGTTCCAAAACAGCTAGGGCTGTTACAGAAAGAAACCCTGTCTCAAAAATAAATAAAAAAATAAATATAAAATTTAAAAAACTGAAAACTCAAAAGGATCAGAACTTAGCCTGGCCTGGTGAAACAGAACACACAACCTGAAAGAACAACTTCTTAGATATTTGACCCTGAAGGCAGAGTGTGTCCCATGTCACATCCACAAGTCAGAAAGATCTCAGAGACCTCCATATTGGGCATGTACTATCAAGAAACTTTGGCAAAGAAAGACTTGAGAGTGGAACACAGACTTACTGGGAGAGGAAGAAGGGAAGTGCCCTAACGTTAAAGAAAATAACTATCAGTAGAAACAGGAAGACAGAGAAGGTGCCCATCATCCAATCAGCACTGAATGCTTCCAAGTCTACATTCAGTCTCACATATAACAGTGTGCAAACGTGGGACTGTCAAGGGAGACAACACAGGTTGTGCATGAACTCCATCTTACCTGCCATAGCCCCACCAGAAGGCCAGGATTTAGACAGAATATCCGGACAAGTCTGTCACAGCCAAAGATGGCAGGCTCCCTTAAATGATCCAGATCATACTTTGCAATTAAAGACAGCCACCGTGGCCTTGGAACACAATGCCAAGAAAGAAGAGAGACTGTGAACATTTCAGTACGTCTTTTTGTAAAATCTTATTCATGTAACTAAAAAAGCTTTTGAAGAGAATTTATACACACTGACATGCTCAAACCAAGTGACAGAATTATGGAGCCTTGGACAACTGAGAGGCAAATACACAAGTTTTAACCCTACTGTGTCTTTCTTTCCCTCCCTCTCACTCTTCCTGAGAGCAGATGTGCCTTTTACCCAAAGTTTTTATAAAGTAGAGCTGAGAAACAGTGAAAACTGGAATATTAGAACAGAAATATAAGCTGAAATCATGAGTGTTTTCATGAGGGAGTCACACAGAATTCTCAGTCTTAATGTCCAAGAGTAAATACCCAAATATGTGGGAGATGCCTTCAGTATGTTCCCCATTAAGACTCAACGCCATCTACAAATACAGTGCAAGGCAGACAACAACATATGGCTCAGGAAGCTGAAAAGAAGCTGAGACCTCAATGGTCAAGCAACAGAGCCAGAGCATTAGGCCAAAGTCCCCAAGGTCCTGGAACAGAGCATCTGGAATTGACTCCAGCAACAGGTGCTCCAGACAGCAGGTATAAACACACAGATGCTGAGCGAAACAAGCTGGGTCACCTGTGGCACTGTTTCAAACAGAGGAGGACTGCAAGGCAACAAAGCCAACTGCAGCTCTCATGGGACAGGATTCTAGCACTGTGTTCATAAGGAATTTTTACACTCAGAACAATAACTAGGTGGCATAACTGGTTGGTGACATATGAACTAAAAACAGACTCAGCACATGAAGAATATGCCTGGAGGATGAGGAACACAAGACCAGTGACATAAGCACAAATTCAAGAAAACCAGGGGAACCTTAGCTCCAGCTGACAATGACTTTACAACACCACAGACGGGGTCCCTGTGACAACAGTTGCTCAGAGGGAAGGCCAGACAGTCCAGACAATCCAAAGAAAAATGCCATGATGGCACAGCACACTTAAAAGATACTCAATAGCTGGCGGCCATTGCTGCTGCTATGGTCAAGACAGAAAGTGGCAGCCAGGTAGAGATGGCAGGAAGCCTCTTCCCTCACCTTCAACATACCACAGCTGGGAAACACTTTTAAGGATGGCTGTGAAAATATTAAACAGTCTCCAGGGACAAACTAAGTCCTCATTCACCTTAGCTTTACAAGCCATAGCCACTGAGGCCTCTGAGAACATTCATTAGACAACCATTCTCACAAACTTGGAGGGCACGGCACACAGACTGCGAACAGAACACTACGAGAACTTACAGTTGAGAGTTCATCTAGAAAGGTCTAGGCTACAGAGCAATGATCTGAACATGACTCCACAAGCACTTTCGATATCCCAGAAACACTGCACAGCAGAAACAAACGCAAGCTTAAGTAAAGGTTCAAAGTCTCACCTGGCTACCACAAAGATGCAGACAAAGAGATCTGCTCTCCTTCATGATGAATGCACTGGCTACAAACTGTAGAGGGGCCTATCAAAGCAGATCCATGGGACACACTTTCAGCTCTGCTTACCACTGCCGATCAAAGGCTGGCCCACAGAGTTTAAATGGAAATAAATTAAATTTGATTAACTCTCCCAAATGAATTTTAGCATTCATTGCTATGCAGTAACTAGTATTCCTGACCTTGGTGGCAATTTCTGGGAACACTATACTTTCAAGTGAGTTCTATAATTCAACATAACATGATCTGCAATCCAGTCTTTCAAGATCACTTTAACTAATGTTAACTAATTTGTATCAGTGCCTACAAACAAAAATCCACGATACACCAAGTAACACCATCCTATCACAACAGTGCATTGTGTGGATTCCGACTCCAAACACGATTTCAGACTGTATACGACTTACCTACTATATCAGAAAACTTGAAGTTCATCATACAAATTTCAGATTTATCCAGATAAAAATATCACTTAAAAAAGTAACTGTGTTGTCAAAATATATCTAGTAATCTAATTAGGAAAATAATCCAGGTTTTTACATTGATAATGTTTTCAGAACACAGCAAGCATGGGCAGCACTGAGAGGTCTGAGTATGATTACTAAAGAGGCGGGACAGGCAGCAGCACACCATGGAGAAGGCACCACTACTACATGTTGCAACAGATCTGATATGGGAATTGTTAGCCTACATGGGACATAAGGGTCTACACCTCCACAGTTCAGTTCTACAAGACAATGGCCTGATTGAAGGGGGATGCGCTGTGAGAAGCAGGAGTGAGCCTCTTAGTGCATGAGTGTTCAGCACAAAGCCATCCCACAGTAGGACGAGTGATCACTTGACCTACGGACTTCACAACTAAGTCTCCTGATCTTCACCCTAACAGCTATCAGCATCATATCAATGTACGGGTGTGAAGACAGAGGCGGAGTCAGGTACACATGGCCACATATCTAGTAAATTCAAGAGAAAAATCACACAAAATAAGTGATAATTGTACTTATAAAGTACTTAAACAAAATTAGTATATAATTACTGAAGAATAAGTTAATCTTATATTGTTTTTTTAAAACAGTTACAAGTGAAAATGCAGAAAAGTCACACATTTTCTAACAAACTATAAAATAATAAAATTATTTTAAAACCAGACTATCATTTTTACTATTATAAGACTCAAGAAATTTTAATTTAGACCTAATGTGACAAGCCCAGTATCTTCTGTTCATAGCAATGTAGAATGACATACAAGCAAATGAAAATACATGAGTGGTACTTTTTATTACAAAGAAATGCCAATATTTAGGTTTCAGGAGTCCTTGTCAATGTACTGATGAATTAGTACTTACCCATATGGGTCAAAGGTTTTATGCCGATCTGCAAAAACTGGCATCATACCACACAAATCCAGGGTGGACAACAAGGCCAGCTTTGGCCAACTTTTGCCATACCACACAACAGTGACGGATGCGTCATTGAAGGAAACACCAGCATGCTGCATGATGTGCTCCTTTCCACTTTTCTCTCTTAATATAATTGCAAAACGTAGGCCAAATACTCTAAAGAAAGAAAAGAAAGCTCAAAGTGCTTTCAAAGAAAGAACTCTGTACACACACACACACACACACACACACACACACAGCACCTTCTGAACCTTTCTTTCCTCCAGCAAATAATCCCTGTTCAGACAATGGAAGGGCATCTTCAACACCTACTCAAATCAATACCATGAGGCTGTTTCTTCTGTTTATAAAAACGTAAGCCAATATCAAAATGTCTCGTAAATTTTACACACACACACAAAATCAGAGACAGCACCCTCTAACATAAACTGCTCACCTAGTCTAGGAGTGTAGCTCATGGTGTCCACTTCCCCAGCACATGGAAGGTCCTAGTCTAGGAATATAGTTCATGGTGTCCACTTCCCCAGCACATGAAAGATCCTAGTCTAGGAGTATAGTTCATGATGTCCACTTCCCCAGCACATGGAAGGCCCTAGTCTAGAAGTGTAGTTCGTGGTGTCCACTTCCCTAGCACACGTAAGGCCCTAGTTTCAGTCCTTCAGCCTGTAAACTAAGTAAAAACCTTGCACATCCACTGTATGTCTAAAACACCTGGATATGACAACATTGGGTTACAACCTGGACAATCCCGTGGTTCTGTCCAGGAGCCAGTGAAGCATCCAAGAGCAGCCTACACACCTGAAGACCTCTTTGAATTTTGTAGGAAGACCTGTGTAGGAGTTAACAGGTTTGGCAATTTGGGTTAGTGCTTCTTTCACAGATGAGATTTGCTTTGTAATATATTCTTTCTTCCAGTATCCAACTTCTTTATCCTCAACTGACAGCAAGCTCACAGACGTGGCTGTCTCCTCCACTGAATGAACTTTCCAGTGTGATCTTTTTGATGGAAATGCAGCTGAGTAGATTCTTCTCCAAATAAGACTGGAAGAAAGGGATAAAGTATAGCAATGTGGAGGCACTGTAATGTACCTGTAACAACATATTACATTAGAGATGCACAATAATTTTTAATTTTCAAATAGATCAATTCAATGAATTTGCCTGTCTTCATGTGTACAGTGGACCACAGTCTGAAATAAAATGTTTTAGATCCACTATCCCCAAAAACACATAAAAAAGGGAAAAGCCTATTTCCAGAGTCAAGTTTAAATTAAGAATTCCACATTACTTGGGATCATCAAATGTTGTCTTTCTACTATATGAAAGAATAGGAGTTCAATCACAGGAAAATCACAGGTGCACATAAAGGGTGAATCTGGTCTTACTGTGGGTATGTTCGTGTGTAAGCACTGTACACACATGCAAAATAATGAGTAAACATATTCTACACTCATTTTGTTTCCTATCTTTAAATTTTAACAGTGAACATGCCTGCTCCAATTTCAAAAAGATAAAATAGTAAAAGTCATTAAAATATAACTTTATTAAGTGTTTATTAAGTTTTCCTGAGCATACATGTCAATTGTTACTTAAGTAATTCACATACATTAACTCATCTACTCCTCCCAATAAATACATGAGGTAGCTACTGCTTTCACCCCCACTCTACAACAGATGATATAATTGTAGTTAAGACTGGTATATTCAAAATGCATGAATACACACACATTTTAATGATCCAAAAATTATCTATATTCATTCCAATATTATTGTCAAATGCCATCCAGTAGTTGATGTAGATAAAACATGTATCCTCTCGCATAAGAATTTCCTGTATCTTTTAAATGAAAAGACAAAAACCTCCCTCTTCAATTAGAGCAGGTGCATGTTCCCATTGCAGAGTGAGAAGTGTGGAGGACAACCTTAGTGAGAACAGAGGGTTTACTATGGTTCCTCACTTAAAGGATATATTAGACCAAAGCATCAAAGATATATTAGGCCAGTCATTTCAGAACTAGATTATTCATTACTATGACCTGAAGAAACTATAAAAATATGGATTCCAAACCACTATATCACAATTCGAAGCATTGAGCTATAATCTTCACAGATACAGAGTTAGGAACTCAAAGTCTTATGTTTTCCCAGCTGACTGTGTATCTTCTTTCATGGACTAGAGTCTGAGAACCACCACAGAGAATATTCCCTGCCTGCTATGCTCCAGAATAGAAAACCCTGCACCCTATCTGTCACCCCCCACACCTTTACCTTCCACATCGAACCAACTACATTCCTGCAGGGTCTATATGGAGTCAATATTGGCATGGTCTTTGATACTGAGTAAGAGAGAACCCTAAAAAGCCAAAAAGTGGGCACAAAACGCTCAGTAGATATTAGGGGCACTCCATCTCTCTATACAAGGAAATTCTAGGTGCAGGCCAAGCTCACAAAGAAAAAGAGAAGCAGTGATTCCTCTTTATTATAGATGCCCAAGAGCCTAACTGAGGAGTCTCCCTGGTTCCCAAGCCTCCACATGCTGTGTCTCTCTCTTCCTACATATCAAGTACATTTAATTGGTAGATATTAGAGGAAAAGCTATGTCAATTTAACAGTCCCCCCCACACACATTTCTTTTTCTATGATCAGTATGATCGCCAGTAGAGAGCACAGTATCTGCCCAAGAACCCAGGACTAGGTGAAAAGCTCTGTGAATGAATGAGAGGAACAGGCTTTATCTTCAGTATACACAAAGAATAATCCAAACCTGATACTCAGAAATGCAAATGTTTGGAAATACATGACTACATGCAGCATTAGACACATTATTGTCTAAAATAAGATTAAAATTAATTCTCTTAAATTTTAGCAAATGGCTAAGTGTCTACTAATTTTCATGACTTCTATTATCACACAGAACAGACAGACATAGTAGTCTCCTTACTTGTCACTGGCCAAACGATAAAAGCGACTGTTCACACATCCAGTGCCCAGCAAGCTCACAGCATCCAAGTAGGAAAATATATTCAGCAAGACTTCAGAGGGCATTCTGAGAGAGGAGGGAGAAAATTAGACAAGATAGCAGATACTGAATCTACAAATTACCCAGAATACAACTGGCTATGCATCTCTAAAGAGAGGTCTACTAGCATACTCATCTGTTTAATAGGCAAACTCTTTTCTCATTCTCAATTAATTTCTTGATTGTAATTTTCTGGTTATTACAGTTATCATTGCATAGACCAATGAAGAGAGCACAAGACAGAGAGAACTGAGTTTTTCAGTATGTCAACCACATCAGTTCAATGACTCTATCATGAAGGTGTATTATTCTCTGCTGAAATGCAGGAACTAGAAGATAGGAACAAATTCTCACCATGCATAATGTTGCTAGAATTGGGAACATTAAATGTGTTCACACCTAACCTGCATTTCAGATTCTCCTTCACCAGCCTGCTAAATGTCCTCACAGAGGGACACTAACTGCTTCCTCTCTAGTTCAAGAAAACTTCAAGCTTCATAGAGTCTTCTGAAGGGCTTTATGTCTAATTGAATGTTATACTTTATTATCGAGATTCCTTCTTCTTTCATAGTTGCAGAATTCTACACACACCACAAGAATCTAGAAGCATGAGGAAATCAGGACTGGGCCTCCAAGCATGTGTATCAGCATTTAGCTGAAGGGCAAATGAACAGGGCTTTGAAGACTGGTGCAAGAGATGGAGGAAGGAACACATAGTGATAAAGGACTAGGAAAACCCTTGGGGCCAACTTCAAATGGTTTGGTCAGTCTCTACTTGTGACTTCAATAATTAAAATAATTTTATTTATTAACAGAATTCAGTAATCAAACATTTTACAGAGAGATGTTAGTCCTAAGATCCTGAAAATACTAAGAAAGAATAATTTGGATCCCTGGAGCGAGCCAGCTAATTCTTCACATATTTGATACATGTCACCATGTGAGTGTACTTACTGTTCAAGGCTTCTGCAAGAACAGGCAGCCTCACCTTAGTTAAATCTTCCCTGCCCCCACCCATGAAATCTTTAATACTCATAATCACAGACACCTTCAATGAGAAATGGTAGAGACAACAAAACTGGGGGGTGGGGAGTTTTGGTACCATGCTGGCTAGTTTTAAGCCTACTTGACACAAGGGGGTCACCTGAGGAAGGGCCCTGAATTGAAAAATGCTTCAGTAATATAGGCAGGCCTGGAGAATATTTTCTTAATTAATGATTGATAGAGAGGTCATAATGGACTGGACCTCAGTTGTGGGTGGTACCAACTCTAGACACATGGTCCTGGGCTCTATAAGAAAGCAAACTGAGCAAGACAAGGGAGCAATCCAGGAAGCAACACTACCACTCCCAACCTCCCACACCCCATATCATTGCATCCCCCACGACCTCTGCATCAGGTTCCAGACCAATTTGAGTTCCTGCCGTGGCTTTCTTCAATGGACTAAGATTCCAGACATGTGAGTCAAATCAAGCCTTTTCTTCCTAAGTTGCTTTTGGTCATGGTGTTTCATCACAGCAATAGAAAAGTACTAAGGCAGTCACCGTTAGGACTAGCCACTGCATGTCCTTTCATATTTTAAATTCTTTATAAAAGTCCGTGCCTGTATTTTTAAATTATTGTAATTCAAACTAAGTTAATCATAAAGACATTTCAAAAAGGTATGGAGTAACTGTAGGAATTTAACTGAATAAAGTCCCATGCAAGTGAGGCATTGAGTAAGTTCCATCTTTGTAGCCACCAGAATTGAGCATGGGGAGATAGATATGTATCTTGATTCCATCTATCCTTCACTGTTCAAAGTCCTTTGAATAAGTGCTCAACCATAACTGAAACATATCAACATAACTCCACCCCTCCCAAGGCTCAGGGGGCATCCTGGAAGATAGAGAGAAAGAATGGAAGAACAAGAGAATGCAGAAGAGTTCTGTGGAATGCCGTCCTCTGGACCTGACACGGCTGTTACTCCAACTCACAGCAGCATTGGTAACCTACACAAGACCTGTATAATACAATCATATTTACTACTCAATGAATTTGTTACTGAGCTGGACCAACCAATGTTTACACCCACACTGGGTTACTTTTTATTGAATTCTAAATATTTCACATAATCCCTGGAATAAAGATAAGGAATAACAAAGACAGAAAGGGCACGAGTAAAGGAGACAGAACAGAAACAAAGATGGGAACAGGATGTTCTGCTTTAAGCGAGTGGTCTTCCCTAAGAAACTCAGCTGATTTGTATATGTTCATTTTCAATACTGTGGGGATAGGTCTGAATGGGAAATTGTACCCCACAGTCTTAGGTATTTGAATAGTTGATCCAATCCAGTTGGTACTGTTATTTGGAGGGGCTTATGAGTTGTGGTCTTGCTGGAGGAAGTATGTCACCAAAGGCAAACTTGGAGAGGCCTTGCCCTACACCCTGTCCCCTCTCTACTTTGTGTCTGTAGTTCAAGATGTGAGCTCTCAGCATGCTGCTCCATGGACTCTAACTCTCTGGAGCCATAAACAAAGTAAACTTTCTTTCTGTAAGATGCCGTAGACATGGTGTTCTATCAAAAGCACTGACAAGTAACTAACACAGTAACTGAACTACAAACATATCATTGCCCATACTGTACACAATTACTCTGCTCCAGTATGCGTGCACTCATCTTCTCCATCCTTACCCCACCCACTTCTTCAGAGAACGCTCGCTTCCGTCGATCAAACCACCTTGGCACTGGATTCCAGGCCACGTCCTCAAAGCCTTCAGTCTTCTACTCGGGCCTCCCTCTTCTCCATCATTACTTCAGCCTTTGAACCATGACCAAAATGTCTACTGACCTAACCCCAGCCCTCCCGAAGCCTTCTCTAGTTGCTACACAACCTCTGCGACACCACTGGCTGCAGAACTTCCAGAGAGGATAAACAACAAAAGAAAACACACCAGCTTGTCCCTACGTACTGTCTCTACATCATGCCTCCTCTTCTTTTTTTTTCATAATATAAATACAAAACACAAAACAACATAAAAATAAGTGATTGGCCCTCCCCTCTCATAGGTCTTTCCTGGATCCTTGGTTACTTCTCAATGTCTCAGTATCACGGGGCTTCCTCATAAATCAAGTTTCTCTGTTCTTGCCCCAAATTCCCCATCACATCCAGGAGAGCTAGCACCGGGCCTGTGGAGCCTCTGCAAACTCCTTGTCATCAAAGGACTCTCTCCTGCATCCCCCACTCTCCCTGGAACTCTCCTATCTCAGTAGCAGTACCTCTATCCACACATCTGCTGGAGCTGACAGTCGGTTAACTCCTCACAAGGACATCTATTTTACTCATGAATAATGTCAGTTATACCTCCAAATGTTCCAAACTTGCCTGTCTTACTCTATCCCTCCTCCTGGAACAGAGAGACAAGGCATGTAAACAAGATATTTTAGAAGTCCAACTTCTACCCAGGATCACGGGAGCCTATACCTTTCCTATCACACTAGCTACCCGGGTGCCTCTCTTAGAGTAAGTCTGTCTCTGTACATCTGGGTTCCCACACTGGTACCCTCTTCTCCAAGGTCCTTAATCTCAACTTTTACTTTCCATCTTCAATGTCACCTCCCCAAGAAAGCCTTTCCTTACCACCTGACTGTATTATTCTACAGTATGGAATTTACTCATCTTTCCTTACCACCTGACTGTATTATTCTACAGTATGGAATTTACTTATCTTTCCTTGCCATCTGACTGTATTATTCTACAGTATGGAATCTACTCATTTCCTTGACAGCATGCACTCCAATTTACAATTTTTCATTTAAAAAAAACCTCTCTCACACTAGTCTATCAGCATCTAGAAAATACATGTAAAGGTTCACTGTGTGTCCCCAGCATCAGATACACTACCAGATCCAATTCCCAGAATAAAGGGTCTTAAACGTAACTGATGCCCTTAATTATCTCTTTTGACTTCTATGTATAAAAACATACTAAATTAAGTAAGTTGAAATGTGCATCTATAATATGGTACTGTTGGCTGAACCAAGTATGACACAGTATTAAATGTCCAATTGTGAATTACTTTTGCAATACACAGGGTCTTCAGGCTTTGTATCCTGGGGCAAAATATCTCTCCATGAAAATACCAACATTACAGGGCTTCAGGCGATGCTAATTACATCGATGTATCCCACAATGGTATTGCAACACACATCTATAGGCATGTTAATACCAGTTCACAATTTTTTTTAAAAGATTGAATGAAGTTTGGTTCCAACGGTCACAGTATAAATCTCACAGTGACAAAGATTTCCAAACCACCGATCTACAAAGAAAATTCCATAGGCTGTACAACTTCAGAAAAAAACATGATCTTCTTTTGGCTTTCCACTGGCTCTTATCTACCAAGAAGTGAATAATTAAGAACAATTTAAGAGAAGGAAAATTCAGTGTACTTGTCACCTTTAGAAATTTAGTTTCATAAAACTAGTCTAATAAGGATAATGGTGACAGGCTCATGACTCATGTCAAACTCTGTGTTGTACATTCTTCCTACACAATCCTATTCTTAGAAAGCTCAAAATAGCACCTTGGTATATGCTGCACTATAATTTTCTCTAAAAACGCCATGCTTAAAGCCAACCACCCCGTGAGATGCAGGCTACGTACCTGTCCAGGGATACAAAACAGATGGAGGAGGGCTTCTCATTGAGCTGGCCATGCCTGGTACACCGCCTCACCACAGCAGAGCCTCTAGCAAACTTAACTCCAAAACCCTTTCTGAAAGTAAAAGTGAGAAACTCAAGTTATATAATAATTACCAAGTGAGGTGAGTTATCTGTTCCCCTTTGCAAAATTCTGAAGGATCAATAGACTCCAAAGATTATTCAATGAAAAACTTCATCTCTGAAAGTAAAGAGGGGGGAAAGGGAGAAAAGAATGGAGGGGAATGGAAGGGAGGGACCCGAATCAAGTGTGTGGTGGGTGAGTAAACCTAAAGTCTGCACTTTACAGTGCAGTACTGGTGCCTATTATAGATGGCCAGCCCGTCCAAGGGACGTCCCCAAATGGATGGAAGGGGAATGAAGGGAAAAGGAGAAACATGCCGTCCTGGTTTCATTTTACAAATGCTCTGACCCGGAAACAATTTAGAGGAGAAAAGAGCATGTGACAGGCTCTAGTAAAGGAGCTGGAGAAGCACAACCCCTGGAGCACGGATGCTTGGTGACCCACCCACAGCTCAGGCTTAACTCGCTCTAACCCCAGGACCATGTGTGCCCAGTGAATGGTGATGCCCACAGTGGGCTGGTTCTCCTCTATCCATTAACAGTCAACACAGCCACTCACAGCCATGCCCTGGGGCCAATCTGATCTAGGCAGTTCCCAACTGAGATTCCCTTCTCAGGTGGTTTTGGGTTGTGTCAAGCTGACAATTAAATCTATCTAAAACAGATATATTGAGAGGCCACTTTCAATAATTTAACAGAAACCTAATGAGGATAGACTCCACAGATTTTTCCTAACTTCCTGTGAGCTAGATCTGTCAAGGCAACCTACAACTTTGTTGATCTTCAAATCAGTTTCAAAGGATAGTATTGACTATCCTTTAGTTAACCTTTGGTTTAACTATCTTTAGTTAGGCACAGAAGGACGTCTATCCGAAAGTTTCCCACATTTTAACACCTTATAGTCAATAAATTATATTTAATTGGCTATGTTTTTAGAGATACATAAAACAATGCATCTCATAATTAACAGCTTTTTAGATGTGATGACATAAATATACTCTTTCAAAGTTCCTAAAACAAGTCTGAATTGGGTAAGTCCTCAACTAACAGATGCTCGCTAGCAGACTGGAGGAGATCTGAAACAAGAGGAAGTCACAGTCCACAGATGTAACATGAGTGGGGCCTTACTGGCTAACTCTCACATCTTGATTAACCCATTTTTCTGATCTATGTTAGCCATGTGGCTCAGTACCTTTTTCAGTGGGGCAGCTCACATCCTGCTGCTTCGGTGATCTGGGCAGGAGAGAGTGGAATCAGCTTCCTCCTCCCCAGAATTCTCCTGCTCTCCTCGCATCATTTCCACTTTCTGTCTAGTTTTCCCACCTAAACCTCCTGCCTGGCCAAACAGCGTTTATTTAAAACATAACTGACAGAATACAGACAATTCTCTGGCACCATACAGATCCCATTTTTAGGAAGTAGCCCCGATGAGTACTCTTAGTGAATATTTCATTTTTCTTGGAAATCCCTAGAAGCTACTTCTTTGAGCAATATACAACATACACACATCAGTTGCTGATACACCCCACACCCTGCATGCTATTTAAGGTACAATATAGAGTACATATTACCCATTTCTCACTCACCAATGCCTAACCACCTTTAGGATCAACCTGGTTCCCAAGGCGTATTTGGATTAATATCTAAACACATTTTTTAAAGTCAGAATTCCATTTCTAGAAATACGCTTTAACTCAAGAAAATGTGCTCTGATAATTCCCCCAAAAAAATGTCCAGCTCAAAGCACCAAGGCTAATTCACTTGCTGAGCAAATCTCATGAAATGAACAGTTATCTCTTTTCTAAGTATGTGTGCAAAACCTGTAGTTAATGTGTATTATGACATCCTCAAAATCAAGATGTTTCGCTACCTAAACAATTAAGTAATGATTAGGCAGGTAGGTACTTTCTGGCACCAGTTATTGAGAAAGGAAAAAGGTACCAAGGGTTTTTCCCTAATCTGATACCAAGATGCCTGTATTTGACTAAAACATTTACTACAGCTTATTTACCAGTTTATTCTTCAGATACATCTTAATGACATATTCTGTACAAAGGAATGTATTAAATGCTTTAAAACTTACTGCATCCTATATTTACAAGAAAAGCAAGGGTATTTTATTACAGACATGTTTTTTAACACTTCTTAAAATGGTGCAGCTCCATTCTAATGACTTTCTTCTATCTACTTTTAAAAAAGACTCTCTTACTGAACATTGATGGTGCAATCTTTTAATCCTGACACTCGAGAGGCAGAAGCAGGGGATCTCTGTGAGTTCAAGGCCAGCCTGGTCTACAAGAGCTAGTTCCAGGACAGCCTGAGCTATACAGACATAGCCTGACTCAAAAAAAAAAAAAAAGAAAAGAAAAGCTCAAAAAAGATCCCTTCCCCTCATTTCATAGAAAAGACAACCAAGACTCCAACTAGATAATTAAAAAGATATTGTAGTCCCAAGCTAGAAGAGGAACATCCCCCAAGATTCCCAAGATTCTCCTGACAACCCTTTTGGAGTTCTTTTTACCATTTCAAATATTTATCAGTCTAATTTTGGCATAACTGAAAAGCACATCTCCATTTCTTCCTGAAACTGACTTGGCATTGTAAATGGGCCAGTCCACTAAACAATCGGTGAACTGAACACATATCTTCAAACAGCTCTATGTCAAACCCACTGTTTAGTTTGGAAGCATTTCTCAAGTACACAAAGAAACGGTCAGACAGAATGACAATGGATTAGCATTAAATACATCTCGAGTGAACATTTTTCCTGAGAGCTTAGAATAAGTGCAAGACATTTGTAAAAATAATTTTAAATTGTATTTTAGTGTGAAATAAATCAGACTAGATATAAATTAACTAAACTTGACATGCATTCTGTTGTATTTCTTACAGTACATAATGTTTATATATGCTAATTCTCTTTGTAGCCGTAGCTGTCCTGGAACTCACTCTGTAGACTAGGCTGGTCTTGAACTTGGAGATCAGCTGCTTCTGCCTCACGAGTGCTGGAATTAAAGGTGTGGCGCCACAACAGGGCTAATAACTGCCTCTCAAAGCACAGTCAGATTCTCAGGCTGAGAGGGAGCAGGTTCCCACACCATCATGAGAGGCACTTTATTTAAATAGACCTACCAGAAGGCTCACCCAGCTTAAAAAGAAGTCAAAGACTCTGACAATACTCTTCCTGCCCACCCATGCAGACCACTATGTAAAGAGTAAGTTGAGGAATAGAAGAAAAATAACTCAAACTTCAACCTTCCAGCTTAAAGGCCAGTCTTTCTCATCTTTTTGCAAACAATGTCACCATTCTGTCACAAACGTTATTTGTCCAGCATCTTGAGAACTCAATCAAGAACTATTATAACAATGCCATCTTTCTGAAATGGTAGAATGGGGACATAGGAAGGACAAAGGACAGGGCTCTGGAGTTGGGGTCACGGTACCTAAGTAGTTGACATAACCCATTAACAGGTTATTTATGCCTACACAAAGATATCTGTGTGCTTTAAAAGCATGTACTTGACTGCTGCATCTATACATCAAGAAGCCTCAGGAATAAAATGAAAATCCTCAAGAGTGTAAATTCTTGCCAGGCGTGGGGGTACACACTTCTAATCTCAGCACTTGGGAGGTGGAGGCAGGCTGTTTTCAGTGAGTTTCAGGACAGCTAGGGCTACATAGAAAGACCCTGTCTCAGAAGAAAAGCAAATTCTTAGCATCATCCCTCCACAGCGATCTCACGAGTGACGACGGTACAGTGCTGGAAACAGCGCACAAGGAAGCAAGTTAACTAAGGTACTTATTTGGGTGAATAAAGATTTCCGAGAGGCCTTTCCCCCATGTGTAAACTTTAGTCTCTCTCACTATGAGAGAGACGAATATCCTCTGGCTTAGAGGTACTCCTCGAGAGAAACAGAAAACCGACCTTGAGGACGGAACAGTCACCGTGCAGGCTCTAACAGTTACTAGGAATGCAGCAAACTACAACGGGGCTGCATAACAAGATGTGGCTGTCTAGAAAACTTCTTGGCTTGGTGGGAGAGGTGCACAAAAACGCCGAGGAAAGTCTCGAGACCGTCCCGATGGCAAGAAACACCTCCTTAGCACTGGGTTTCGATGAATCCATTCTATTCCATGTTACAGGGCCATAGAAAAAGCTGATTCTCATTCTAGAATCTCTAAAACGCAGGTCTTCACCTGTCTTTACATGTGCGCTGCTGCAGTCTTCCAGCTGTTGGAAGTCTCCATAGAGCCTAACCACGGGGCAAATCAATGAACGGATGGAAGGCTTAGTAATACTTATTACCTCCTTAGAAAGCACCTCTACTTGTGTCCTAACTTGAGGTACTCTAGTTTTTCAGGATGGAGGTTTCTTTTTATCGTTCTTAATGATATTTCCCGCGTTAAAAAATTAAAACAAGAAACAACAGTCACATGCCAGACTGGGACCAATGAAAATATTCTGGAAAGAGCAGCGGGATGGAATTCCGAAGGGAGGCCCACCCGCGTGCCCCGAGCATCACCTGTACAGGGAGCGCCCCGCGGCCGCCCCCGCGCTGTCCCGGGCAAAGCCATCACCGTGCAGGGACTCGCGCAGCGCCTGTTGTCCGAAACGTCCAGACAGCGGCATCTGGCCGCGTCCGGTCGCCATGGAGACCCAGCGCCGAAGTGAGGAACCGCCCCTCGCGCGTGCGCAAGACGAAGGCCAGGCTCGCGCGGACGTGGGTGGAGTTTCCCGGTGGACAGCTCCGCCTTTGCGTCCGGAACGGCGTCCGGGCGCTTCCGGGTTGGCGTCTTTGCCACCCCGCCATGCCGATGAGGGTTCGCCGGTCACAGCGCGGGGCCATTGGCCTGTGGCTCGGTTCTCCTACGTTTGTCAGCTGATTTCTAGAAAGGAAACGGACACACTAAAATTGTCCCTTTCTCATAATTATGGCAAACCCATGACACGGACTTCTCAGTTGACAGTCCTCTGTAGAGAGGCCTTGAGAA